TATATATATATATATATATATATATCCGTTAAGAAAATTGAATAATCCGCCCCCAAACCGATAAGCCGTTAATAAAAAAAATTCAATCTGTTCCCCGTCCGTTAAGCCGTTAAGTCGTTACCAGTAAGCCATTAAACTTCGGTTCGGTTCGGTTTTCGGTTTCGGATCGGTTTTGAACACCCCTAATGCGCAGAGGACGTTAACTTTAATTATTGAAATAAATATTTGTTTGGCTCAAAATTATTATTTAATTTGTAGCTATCTGATTTTTTCTAATACAAAGTTAATAGGTGAATAAGAAGAGAGACTAGATCGGGTTAGATTTGAATTCACGACACCAGATTCCAGATTATATATAACCTTTTGGGTTACTCGACCATCCAAGATTTAAATTTAATGAGTTCAACTTTTAAGATTTTTATTATTGAACTCATTGTAATGTTTTTTTTATTGTAATGTTAAAATTATAGGTTCAGATTTAATATTTGTTGAGATTTTAATAAGTTTTTACATATATTCTACGCTCTGTGTCGAAAGTTATGGGTTCAGTTGAACCATAACCAGTAGGCTATGATCGACTCAAATTCAGTTTTGTCTTGTCCGATTAGGGTTATAAAATTGAATTTAAGTTTTATGTACTGATTTTATATAAAATTATATACAATCATGTCACGTATAAGATCATTACAACAGATTTTTATGATAAATATTAATTGGTAATCTGGCTAGAATAATAATTAACTAGCTATCAAGAGTTAAACCACTCTAATCTGGTTATATACTGCTGTTAAATTAGGTATTCTCCTCCAAAAAATGGGTATTAAAATGAAATTACCACGAAAAAGGCGGCCTCTCTGTTGTCTGGCTTTAGGAAAGCGATCCTAATATTCCTAGCTACTCTAGCTCTGTTATCAATATTTATCAAGTCCAAGAACAGTTTTTGATAATTAAAGAAGCCAAACTATAGAAGTTGCCTGCTTTATATATATCTTTAGGTTAGAATCTAGCTTCTATAATACTATTATTGTTACGGGGCCAAAATATTTTCTAAGGAAGCATGAGTACTGGACAGGCTAGATTCATCATCTAAAATCAACGTTATTTGTTATCTCGAAAAAAGAAGTTGTAGAAACTTTATGGCTTGTTTATATACATACATAATTCATCTTCTTATGAGGTACCTAACCTCTGATATATAGGGGTCACTGCTTTCACCTACTATATTCAGGCATATTTTACCACGTTGGATGGGTGGATGTCTTCGTAAGTCCCAAGGTATGAATATTAAAATACAATTACAATGAAGAAAGTTGAAAGAAAGAGAAGGGACTGAACTTAGCCAATTTAGTTTACTTTATTTGATCAGTAAATTTTTGGATGAAAGATATTCAATTGAATCTCCTTGAGTCCACCTCTTTTTTTACACAGGGGAGATTTACTTTTATACGTAAGAGATTTGTCTTTTACACATAAGAGATCTAAAAAGGTCATTTTCTTAAATTTAAAATTGTAAAGGGACATGATGTACAAATAGCACAAGTTCCATATAGCTCCGCTCCTATCCAAAACCAATTGAAAAACACAAATTTACACATTATAGAGTGCAATGTAGAAAGAAATTAAACAGTTGTGTATAGATGATTGATTGAATGGTAGTACTTTTTATTAGCTAAAAACAGAAGGGGCTACTAAACTTTTTAATAATGGAGTGACTAAAATTAGCCAAGCAATGTTGTCTTCAACATATCACATAACGTTTGGTTTATATGTTTATAACCTGGCGTTTGTCTACTGATGGCTGACACTTAATTGGTTGATTTTTGATTGATGAGAATGGCATCTACATGATGAATACACCATGTATTATACCTCCCAAGATCATAGTAGTTGGCTTTAATTGCTCTTTTGTTCTTCTAATTTTAGTGATCAATTGATACTAATCATATTGACAATTGCATTTTAGGAACATGTACATATGAGTTTGAATATTGTTTCGGAAGAGGGGTTAGTTAGGTTTGATTGACTTTTGCTTTTATCAGACTAGGAAAGCCAATGCTAAATTAAAGTTGTTCAATAATTTGATTTAGGGACCCCTACACTGTGTAACCTACAAGTTAATCCGAAATTACAGCTAAGTTGTGCCAGCTTTAGGCGACTAATAAATCTAGTTCCAAATCAGTAGCTTGGTTGATGGAACTAGAGCCAGAATTGAACCCTCGCGTCAAGTCAGAGGCGGAGCTAGAATTTGAAGTTTATGGGCTCTAAACTTGCCGTCGAACCCATAGCTCGTTATAGTTACTGGGTTCACAATTGAATATTTACACATATTTAATGAATTTACTAATACAAATATAGGGTCTAAGCAAAAGCTACCGGTGCGCCCGCTACTTATACTCTCCCTCCGCCCCTGCGTCAAGTGGAAGATACTAATTAATTAGTACTTGTATATTGTCTAGTGTCAATACTCCATAACAGCCAAGGAGTTCATATTATATTCTTGTTCGCTTCCACAAAGTAAAAAAAGTGTAGATATTTAATCTTGTAAAATCTCGCCCCGAAGTTTAAGATTTGTTTACGTTTGCAATATTGTGTCAACATTGTTATGGTGCTGTGGAGTTGTTTTCCAAATTACAAATCGTTATACCAGATCTGTTTCAAGATTTGATTCCATTTCCCTTTTCATGCAAATCCTCGTCATGTCTTGTGGTGAATTTCATAGAAAATGGCACAAAAACTTACATTTAATTTTAATGTAATGAGGATGGTACTCTTTTGGTATATATCACTTTGAAAGAGTGGAAAATATTAAGTATCTATCGGTGAGTGACTGAGTTTAGTTCCAATTGTCACGACTAAGTCTATGCATAGTAGTATGCAATATGCAACTAACTTAAAGGCTCCGCTGCCACTTAACAAACTCTGAAATAATATTGGACGATTTAACTTATTTTCTCTACATCCATAGAAAAGTAAAACGAAAAAAAAAAAGAAGATAAAGCTAGGAATATTATCATTCAATTTTTTCCAGATCCTTTTATGAAAGAAGAAGTACCACGGACTGTTTGGCATGATAAAATTAATTGCTTCTGCTTTTTGCCGTTTCACAGCAATAATATTGTCTCAAGCTGTAGCAACACTTTGTTACTGCAAACCATCTACTAGCTGCCACTACTGCAAACTTGTGTTACAAAAAAAGACACATTATATGAATGGCATAAATGTTCATATCAACCATATAAATCCAGAATCTTTAACAACATTGCTAATTAAAACGCGAAACATGCTTTTCACCAGCCATAGTCCTACTACTACTACATACATTACTTGTTAGATTAGTTAGTATTTGATGGGAGTATTTGAGAAGAGGTTGTTTTGTTCCTCATTGGAAAAAGAAAGAAAGGAAGAGGTGTTTAAAAGAAATTCTTTGTCTTATATAGTTTGAATATTTTTAGGGTGTTTTAGAGGGAAATTGGAATTTGACTATATTATTAATAGTCAAGATTGGACACTTGAGCTTTGGGCCAATTAAGTAGCCCGGAATTAATATTTTAGTCACCTATTATTTAATTAATTAAAAACGTTTTTGCCTTTTAATTTCAGAAAACGTTTTTAACATTTTTTATCCAAAAAAAGGTGACTATTGGTTTTAAAAGGTGCACGTTAGGAAGAAATGAGTCTGTTAATTCCAACACTCCTAGAGGTATTATAAATACCTATATTATCTCCAAAACGAAATCATTTGAAACTTTCATCCTGAAGGAATTCTGTCATAATCCCTGCAACAACAAAATTGGGAGGCTTAAATTCCTTAAGGACAGTGACTACACTATCAAGGCCTAAATATTTCTTCACATATTCTGCTAAATTTTCTAATATTACTCGCCATTTGCTTCTCTTTCAATTTTTTTTATAACTACTCTAAACAAAACTCAATCTGATTAAAAAAAATACTTAATGCTTTTTGTGTTTAATGAAATTTAAATGTCGCATCTTCTTTCAATTTCTCTCTCATTTTACTAAGATTTATACCTGGGATGCTCTGTCCATCCTTCTCAAATTTTGACAAACGATACTAGAGAATAAATTTCTGGGAGATCTCAGGCGTTGATAGTGGATCGAATGAGAAGTCCTATTAACTGTTATATTTTACTTGTATTACATCTTGGCGACACTCCTAATAGAGTGAATAAAGAAAATTTGTATGATCAACTTTAATTAATTCGAGATCTTATATAAAGCCTCTGCTAGCTGTGCACTGGCCTGATACTTAAATTGATTAGAGTTCCCTCCAACTCCATACCAACAGTTTTCCTTTTCCCGAAGTGTGTTCACGATTTAAAGTCAAAGTCATTTGGAAGAGGAATTTTAAAATAATTAAGTAATTAATGAAGCATTTCACTAGCTCCCGCGTGAGTTGTGACTAGTGGTGGCAAAATGGTTAAAAGAAAAAAGTTAACCACCTATATTATCTATTAAAAATGGATTGGATAATGAACTTTTTAAAAACGGGTCAAATATGGATAAAAACAATGTTATCCATTTAGAAAATGGATAACCAATGAGTCTTAACTTTTACATTTATAAAGTCTCAAATTGGGGGTTTCTTAAGTTAAGGAGACTAAGAATTCTCCCAAAAGTGATCATATGCAAGAAGTCATGGATAATATGATTACCCATATTATCCGTGGTTAACCCATTTTTTATCCCTATTAAATATGGGTCGGGTAGGATGATTTATCCGTTTTTTCATTATCCGTTTTCAACCCGAACCATATCTGATCCGACCCGCCCGTTTGCCTCTCCTAGTTGTGACACCTCTTAATAAGAAATATCGAGTCAATTGATTTGACATTTACCAAAATTCAATAACTTAAAGTGCGCATACAAGATTTGGATGCTTTAAATGGTATAAACACCTACTTCCCTTACCTTTAATGGCATTAACAATTTCAGCTTTGTCCTTACTCTATTAGCTAGATTTCAGGCAATCAATCAGCCGAAAGAAACTGTAACTTTGAAACGGAGTCATTTGAATCCAGAACATTATAGATTTAAACATATACTAATATGGTACTACCAGTAGTAGCACAAATTAAACAGCCTAGTATTTAACTCCAGCATTGAGACAGTTAAAGTCATAAGGTGACAAAAGAGTATTACAAAATGGACAAAAAGTAAAAACAAGAAAAAGGAAAATGACTTAACGTCCGTTTCTAAGAGGACTGACGGCAGTTTCCTTGCATGGACTTGGCGGCACACTACTTCTTCCGGTAGCAACAAGGCGTTGCACTAAACCGCCGATTCTCTGTCCGTTAGTCTCCGTCAGTAACCGCTTACCGCCAAATGGCAATGACTCCACTCCTCTTTCTTCCAACGCTTCCTCAATTCCCGTTCCCACTCCTCCACTTGCGTAGCCGGTAGCCTGTCACGAAAAGTCCCGTTATCAACGCTGACACACGCCAAGCTTTTCAATCTGATACTTCTTCAGTAAAAAGTGAGAAAATCTACGACAGTATAATATTTTCTCCAAAAATACTTTAAAATATATTGAAATTAAAGCGAATTTTGACCATCACTTTTGATTATACTGTTTCGCATTTTGATGGAGAAAAAGCTACAGTTTGTAATACTTTTTCTGTTTCGATAAGTTTCAATTTGACAGTATTATAATAGTCTCAATTAATTTAGCTTCAAAAGTAAGTCAAATTAACTCCTGACATAAACAAAATATGCAAAAGAAATTGGACGAAGTAAAATTTTAGAGATACCTGAACTCTAACGTAGTCATTAGGATTCCAGCAGAAGGCGTTGCCGAGCATTTGGTCGACAGTTTCAGATACGCCATCGACGACGATTCCGACGACAGAAGATGGAGAGCAGTAGCCGTCGTTTCGCAGTTTCAAGTTTGTCGGTGAGCTTAATGGACCGTTACCTAGAGAGAGAACCAATAAGTCATCGACGCCGGTGACGGAAGGAAAATCACGTTTGTTGTGCAAAACGTGAGTGACGGCTGCAGCGGCAGGGTTGTTCATGACAAGACCGCCGTCCACGGCGAGGCACGACGTTTTTCCATCGACGGACTTAAGATTAAACGGCTTGAACATCGACGGATTAGCTGACGTGGCACGGCATACTTTCGAGAGCTCGAAATCGAAACTGAAGGACTCGATAGCATCAGCTCTGGAGAAAACGAAGGGCGCAGAGCTGTTGAGGTCAAAGCAAGGAACAAGTAAAGGCTTACACGTGTCCCTCAACGTCAAAACTTTGCCATCTTCTCTTCTAAACACTTCCTTCAACACCTTATCCATACTCTTCCCTGAAAACCTCCTCTTACGGCGGAAAACGCCGACGTTCTTCACCTTAAACAGCCGCGACTGATTTTCCGTTACGAACTTGACGGCATCCTTCGCCGTGAATAACGGACGACCGTCGCCTCCATCAACAACAAGCATTGCGGCGAAAATAGCACCTACTCCAGTACCGGCGATAATGTCGAAGAAATCAGAAATTCGAACGTGAGGATCACCAGTTTTGGCACAGATCTGGTTTTCCAGATGGATCAATGCCGCACCGGAAACAATGCCGGCGGTTCCACCCCCGTCAATACTGAGGATACGAGTCTTCTTCCCTTCATAATGATACAGCCATTTCTGCTCTAACTTCGAGAAGATTTCCAGTGTCATCTTACTGAACTCCATCACTGAACAGCGAAACAAGCAATGGAAGCAATTTACTGTACTGATGGATTATGCAACAGTTAATGGAAAAACCGTGAAACAGGAAAAAAGTCACGATATTCTTCCGAGAGGCATTTATGATGCGAAATTGCACTGTATATTCCTATTTTTGCTTATTTATTTCTTCAGCACTGACAGAAATACAATCTGTGCAGTGCGCTCGCTTTACTGTCTGCTAAGTACAGAGAGAGAGAGAGTCACGGTGAGTGTGATGCAGAGTTAAAACAAGGGAAAAAAACACACTCTACACAGAGTTGGTTATACGTTATATACAAACCAAGTTTTGCACTTACCAAATTTTTCTACTGCTTCCACGTTTGCTTTTGACCGGTAGTAATTGTTTTTTCTTTGTTTTTTCTTTTTGGGGGTTGGAGACCTAGGTATAGAGGCATTTGTCTGTAGAGCTTACCTATTACTCCCTCCGTTCCAATATATGTAAACCTGTTTTTATGGGCACGGAGTTTGATAGAAAATGAAGACTTTTGGAATTTGTGGTCCTAAACAAGTTAAAATGGAGTTCAGAATATTTGTGTGATTGTAAGCTTCTCATTAAGGATATAATTGAAAGTTTAAACTAAATTGTTTCCAAATTTAGACGTCATTCTTTTTGGAACGAACCAAAAAGAAAATTGATACACATAAACTGGAA